CCTTTCCTTTCCTTTCCTTTCCTTTCCTTTCCTTTCCTTTCCTTTCCTTTCCTTTCCTTTCCTTCCCTTCCCTTCCCTTCCCTTCCCTTCCCTTCCCTTCCTTCTAATATTACTAGTAGATATAAAATAATAGAAGCTTTGTATCTTAGGAAGGTCATGTGAAGACCTTTCATTTTTCCCATTTTGTCAAATTTTTATAGTATTAATGCAAATGATCTGGTCTTTTAAATTGTACAGGTGAAACTCGAAAAATTAGAATATCATGCAAAAGTTCATTTATTTCAGTAATGCAACTTAAAAGGTGAAGCTAATATATGAGATAGACTCATTACATGCAAAGCAAGCTGTGATTTGTCATAATTGAGATGATTATGGCTTACAGCTCATGAAAACCCCAAATTCACAATCTCACAAAATTAGAATATTGTGAAAAGGTTCAATATTCTAGGCTCAAAGTGTCCCACTCTAATCAGCTAATTAAGCCATAACACCTGCAAAGGGTTCCTGAGCCTTTAAATGGTTTCTCAGTCTGGTTCAGTAGGAATCACAATCATGGCAAAGACTGCTGACCTGACAGTTGTGCAGAAAACCATCATTGACACCCTCCATAAGGAGGGAAAGCCTCAAAAAGTAATTGCAAAAGAAGTTGGATGTTCCCAAAGTGCTGTATCAAAGCACATTAATAGAAAGTTATGTGGAAGGGAAAAGTGTGGAAGAAAAAGGTGCACAAGCAGCAGGGATGACCGCAGCCTGGAGAGGATTGTCAGGAAAAGGTCATTCAAAAGTGTTGGGGACTTTCCCAAGGAGTGGACTGAGGCTGGAGTCAGTGCATCAAGAGCCACCACACACAGACGGATCCTGGACATGGGCTTCAAATGTCATATTCCTCTTCTCAAGGCACTTCTGATCAACAAATAACATCAGAAACGTCTTCCCTGAGCAAAAGAAAAACAGAACTGGTCTGTTGCTCAGTGGTCCAAAGTCCTCTTTTCTGATGAGAGCAACTTTTGCCTCTCATTTGGAAACCAAGGACCCAGAGTCTGGAGGAAGAATGGAAAGACGCACACTGCAAGATGCTTGAAGTCCAGTGTGAAGTTTCCGCAGTCTGTGTTGATTTGAGGAACCATGTCATCTGCTGGTGTTGGTCCACTGTGCTTTATTAAGTCCAGGGTCAATGCAGACGTCTACCAGGAGATTTTGGAGCACTTCATGCTTCCTTCTGCAGACGAGCTTTATGGGGATGCTGACTTCATTTTCCAGCAGGACTTGGCACCTGCCCACACTGCCCAAAGCACCAAAACCTGGTTAAATGACTGTGGGATTACTGTGCTTTATTGGCCAGCAAACTCACCTGACCTGAACCCCATAGAGAATCTATGGGGCATTGCCAAGAGAAAGATGAGAGATGTGAGACTGAACAGTGCAGAAGAGCTGAAGGCCGCTATTGAAGCATCCTGGTCTTCCTGGGCTGCTTCAGCAGTGCCACAGGCTGATAGTTTCCATGCCACACCTCATTGAGGAAGTAATTGCTGCAAAAGGGGCCCAAACCAAGTACTGAGTACATATGCATGCTTATACTTTTCAGAGGTACAATTTTGTTCCATGTACAATCCTTGTTTTATTGATTGCATGTAATATGCTAATTTTGTGAGATTGTGGATTTGGGGTTTTCATGAGCTATAATCCATAATCATCTCAATTATGACAAATCACGGCTTGAACTATCTTGCTTTGCATGTAATGAGTCTATCTCATATATTAGTTTCACCTTTTAAGTTGCATTACTGAAATAAATGAACTTTTGTACGATAGTCTAATTTTTTGAGTTTCACCTGTGCATTAGCTAAATGCAGTATAACAGATTATTCCATGAATAAAACCAATAAATGAAAAATAGAGCCAGTTTTACTCCCATGTGAATTTATTCAGTTAACTTGCACAGGTGACATTATTTGGGTTTTCTGATCTGCTCAAGATTATTGAGTTAGAAGATGGTATGGAATTATTTTCTGTCCTTCATTCTATTAAAATATAAAAGAATAGACTGAAGAAGGGCATCTGTGATTTAAAGTCAGGTGTCATCAATGTGATGATAATACCCAATTTTATTTTCCCCAGTCTTTAGAGTCATTGCAATATTGCTACTGTTAAACTGAAGTCTAGATGTTTTAATACGATGTATCACAACCAATAAAGCAATGCTGTCTGACAAGATGGTGTCTATATGGATCAGTGATTCTTATTTTTGGAAGTGGGCAAGCAACATGCACTGAAATGGATGTATTCGGACCTTGAGGGAGTCCTTCAGTGTGCTGCTAGATTCATCTTTGTCAGTTACAACCCCAATGTTTTAATTATTTTGGACAGTTTGGACTTGCTTACTGATTGAAAATATAAGAGCATACATTACTATAAGATAATTATTAGCCCAAACTGACCAATTTATCTCAGTTTTACAGGAACTGAAGTCACTTTCAGTAGCTTCTGATCTGAGTTCAAGGTATTTATGGTAGCGTTAAAACAGCTGGGGACCTTGATATTTAAAGGACAGCTTCTGTTGTATCACCTGCCTAAATATTAAATATAAAAAATTGATGAGGGGAGGGTTCCTCCACCTTCCCTTTATTCGAAGAAATGCAAATGTGAGACAGGAGTTTTCTATTTGTCTTATAAAACTCTCTTCTCTGAAAAGCCTGGGTGGCACATGCCTTTGTTTTCTTTTAACGTCACATAGAGACCTGACAATTTATCCAAGCCTGTTGGTAGTTTAGCCTGGTTTATCTGTTTTATCTATCTTGTTTTACCTATCATGTGCTGATAAGTGCTTTCATATTGATTTCTTTGATGGTTTTATCTCCACCCTGAGTTTTTTTGATCCATTGCAATTAGCAACGTTTTACTAAGTAAATAATTAAATTGCATAGATATAGGAGATACAAAATAGTAATTAGTAAATGGCGACGATCCAGTTGGTTTCTTCTGAATATGTACTGAGAGTCACCCAGAGATATGGATCAGTGATCATATAATATTGCATGCATGGTAAGAAAAAAACTATTGGGAGAGGACTGCAGTCTCCATTTGGTAAAGTTCACACTTAGAAGAAGTGAGAGCTGTTGAAGGTAAGAGCTGTTGAAAGCAAGATAGTCTTGTCTTATTCCTTACTTTAAAGCTGGAATGATAGCTAGGTTTTGAACCAGAATTTTCCAGCTTATAGGGCATTTTAATATTTGGAGCTGGCAAACATGCTTACATCTTCCTAGTATCTAATGTATTTCTCCCCCTCTGCTCCCCTTTAATTTCAGTGCACCAATGCCTTATTTGATTGGAGTTCACTTCAGTTTAATGGAGGTAAGTAACTTTCTCTTTCTCCATGTCTATATGTTAAGGCTGCATAATGTGCAAGCATTTTAAAAGCCTAACTGGATCTCTCATACTATTCCTGAATAGGCGTCAATATTTTAAAAAATGCAATTTATGGGTAATTGGAAGGATAGGAGGGGAAAAAAGAAACAAGTTGGTTAACCTTGGATTCCCCTGTTTTATATGAGATTCTCTATAGTTGAGAAACAGAATAAGAGAACTTCCCATCTTCATTAGCTACAGCAGAGGAGGAACAGTTCCTTTCATGTAAACCCTTGAAGCAGCCCTAAATATATCAGCCTCAAAATGGAATGCTGAACATTCTACCAAGCTATTCTGGCAGTGTGCCATTTAATGATATCGAGACTTCTGCATGGAAGGGAATAGAATTATGGAGTGGGGAGGAACCAGGCAGGATCACCTGCTTGTTTCAAATATTCTTGCAATTATTTGAGAAGTTCAGACTGAGTGAGAAAAGAAAATGGCCAGAAACTATTGTAAGAAAAGTAACCCTCCCCTCAGGATATCCATATGTGATGGGCCATTTCATCTAGCATAGATGTTGCTTAAAATTGGCATTAGAAAGACTACTGATTTGCTTGATTTAGGATCATACAGGTTAAATTTAAAAGAGCGAACAACTCAAGAAAGCCTGTCCAACAGTATCATGGAATTGTTTCCTTGGTATCAATGGGGACATGCCTAGATATTAAATGTACACAGTAATTTGAGATTATAACATGCCATCTATTTCTTGTTATTTAAGTCTGTAAGCCTGTATCTGCTGTGTTTTATCAGTCTATGCTTGCATTAATCAAAAAAAGGAAGGTTGTAAGGAATGCCCTGCAGAACCAAACCAAATGTCCACTTGTTCTAGCATCTTGTTTCTCACTAGGCAAATAATGGCAAGGCAAATATTGGATAAATGTTTTTATATAGTGACAGAAGAATAGGAGATCCTATTCAGGCATTGTAAGAAATAGTCTTGATGGGTATTATTTCTAATACTCTAAATTTCATTAATTATGTTAGTGATGCATTATGTAAGGGAATTCTTATTGCACAATGCTGCCGTGGAAATATTGGCTTATTTCTTTGTGACCTAGATTGCTTCATCTCTAGTTTGTTTACTTGTTCGTTTACAATTTAGATTTATATGTGTATGTTTTTAAATGAAAATCAGAAAGAGAAGCACTCAAATGCTTACATGGATATGTTTCCTTATTCAGAGAGTCAAAAGTAAATCAGTGGAGGATGTGGTGATGCTAAACGTTGACACAAATACATTGGAAACACCATTTAATGACCTGAGCAATCTACCAAGTGAAGTGGTAAGTCTAGTTGGTTTTATTCCCCTCCCCCCCGCTAAGTTAAAAAAAAGTACCTTCCTCCATCAAACATTATGTTATCAGATTTCCTATTTAATGGTGTCTTGTTTTGTTTTGTTTGTTTGTTTACTTGCTTTTGACAGTTGAGGAAATGTTGAGGGGAATGTCATATTCCTTATTGTGAAGAAAAAGGGAAGATCATAATTATAAAGCTTGCTGCATTCATTAGGCATAGCAGCTTTAAATGCAAGAGTCTCTTCATCTCATCTTAATCATTATATTACAAAGTAGGCATTTCTGACTGCCTAGTGGCATATCTTGCAAGGGGGAAAAAAGGAGTTTTTGAAGGCAAAAAAGAAGAAGGGGGCCAATTATCGGCTGCTGGTTCCCTGCCACCTGCCAGCACTTCTCCTTTTAATTAACGATCTGATGACATTGGTCAATATAATAAGAAATGCTTGTAGAGTGGGGTCAGAAAATGCATACTTTGATCTCCTTCAACTTTTTGAAACATTTATTTGTTTTGTCGAAATTATTTCAGTTTTATTTTAATCTCTTCTATCCTGCTGAGGATGGCATGAATTGAAAACTCTACTCTGTTTGTCATTTGCTTTGGCAGAACAACAATGCCATACTTACAATTCTATTTGTAAATTAAACTGCGAAACCTATTTGTCATAAAAGACATTGGATCCTTTGAAAATGACGAAAACTGCCTTTTGACTGCAAAGGCAGATAAATTGTGGCAGTTATACTTGGTCTTTTATCTGATGATTCCCCCCCCCCCCTTTCTGGATGCGTATAATAGGATATATTCTACAGTTCATATTATATAGACACCCCCAAAATAGCATTTTACTTTCTTTTGGACTTCTGCAACATGGTTCTGAAAAATAGCTTTTTCCCTACTACGGTTTGCTCATTTTAAAGACAGAATTCAGTAGAAACTGATGATAACAGATGGTTCAAAGCGAGACTGAAATAATACGATATTATTTCTCAAATGAAATACACACACACACATATGTGAGCATACATACATGTGCATTCATATATACTTGTATAGACCACTCAAGACAATAAAACAGCAACCTTATTCCTAGTTATAATATTTTTAATATATACGTTCTTTCATCATATCAGGACATTTATTTTTATATGTTATTTAAAACAAAAGCATAATATTCAGATTAATGTTTTACTACTTTGCTTTTGAAAAGGAACTAACAAACGTGGGTAATAGCTGATTGCATTATTCATTTTTAAAGCTACTTTAAATAAATTAACATCTTGAAGTTAATACCAGAATAAATTTAAATCTCAAAATATGTGGTTATTGATGGGAATATATATTTGATCTTGCACTAAGAAGAAGTGATCATTTATGTATATCCCATATAAATTCATAGTGCTATAGTTGGGTAGTTTCCAAGCACATAGAGTACTGAGTACAAAAGAGATTTCTCTATTTTTATGCACCCAATGTATGACAAGGGACACATTTTTGCATACATCTACTAAAGATGATCCGGGGTGCCTGCATTTCTATTTTGGATTCTTCTGTCTTATTTTTCTAAAAGACAATATGATTTAACAGATTTTCTAAATATATTAGTAGAAAATATATTTTTAATATGTTTGCTAAGGAAAATTGGACTGAATAGAATGTCAATTCAAAGATTTCTAGACATTTTTATCTACAAACAAGCTCATATATTAATTTTGGTGGGATAGAATCATATGCATGAAAAGAAAACATCACTGAATTGGAGTAAGTTGTTAGTGAAAACATACTGATCTGTTTATCATTTAACTCTATATGAAATCCTACAAACATCTTATTTTAATTAGCATTTGCCCTTTACAAAAATGAACATTCCATGTAAAAAATTAACATAAAACAGTATATTATTTGTATACTCTAAAAAGTTTTATTTTTCCCTTCTGGTAATACATACTATAGTTTATTTCTTGTACCAGTTGTTTATCGGTCCTGATTGCTTCCATTCTAAATGCACCCTTTTGTAGTTCTCAATTGTTAATGAAAACCACATATAAGCATAGACTGAAAGTGGGGTGCTTATCTTCTCTGCAATTTTGTGAGTTTATAGACCAAGAAAAGTTGATACTGTACTATGTACATATACCAATATTGTCTGTATTTGGCAATAATTTTCATGGTGGTTTTAATAATATTAAACAATAAACAGGTTTGAGAAAGGCTATCAAATAAAAATACTTATGTTATTATTCTATAATACATGAAAATATGTGAATCTTTGCATATAAAATAAGGTTCCTTTCCCTATGTACATTGCGTCTAATGTCTTAAGCATCTGTGGTATATAATCTACTGTAATGTATTTATTTAGTTATTTATTTATTTATATTTCATATTTCTGAATCTCCCATTTCTCTCAAAGACATTAAAATGTTTTATATATTAAATATAGATTTTATATATGAAAGTGTTAAAAGAGATAAAGTAGTGTGTTAATGGGGACATATAAAAAATGAGCATATAAATAAACCTTTACATTTATTTTAGGAATCAAAACATAAATTCAAAATTGTTCCTATATTCCTGAATACTTTTTCTGGCTCAGCTTTTTATAACATGAAAGACTTAAAATATTACATGATTCTTATTCCTATTGTACCGTATTTACAAGTCCAGGATTTGTAAAATTATGATTCATTCATGTTACAACATCTCATTAATTGAAAATGCTTTTTAAAAAAAAATGCAAAAAAAGTTAGTTGAAATCTGAAAAACATTATTATTTAATTTAATTTAATTTTAATATAATTAATATATATTTTTATGTAAGTTTCATATAATTATCTAAAAATTAGCAAGACTTTTCAGTTCATTCACCAAAACATTTCACTTACACTTACAGGCTTTAATGCCTTTCTATACATGGAAAATATATTAGGCTTATTAGATTGACTAGTGGGTATTCAAAGGTCAGTGGTCACACTTGTCCTGAACTACCTGTCTGTTTTATTTCATGTGGATCCTTCATGTGTTTCATTATGTAGTGTGTGTTGTTAATCCTAAAGGCTTCATTCTGATATTTACACATAATAGTTTAGATTTATTGATAGTTAATAATACTACCATTCCAGTAGCAGTTTTGCTACTCCTAAGATGTTCAAAATTGGAAAAATAAATCAACACAAGGCTTTTTAAAAACACTTTGTTTCTATTTCTCTTTTCCTGTCTTCTTCCAGGGATACCTAGCTTTTATAATTCATCATTTCACTGTAGATTTATCTTTTGCTTTAGAGACCTAGCTGCCTCCCTTACATAAATAGTGGCTCCCTTAGAAACAGGGTTTTGGTTTAATTTAGTCATTGAGTTTTTCTTTCCTTATATGTCAGATCAGAATTTCTGGTAGATATCAGGAAAGCAGTCAGATAAAATTCCCCTTGGGTTAAAATTTTATCTTAAATTAGCCACCTAAGCCATCATGATACCCTCTAGATGTGTTATAATTGTAACTCTCAAAATTCTTTGTTAGCATGGTGTGCTGACTAAATGATATTGATATAATAGGCCATATTGCAGAGAAAACTCAGCAATCTGGCAGATTCCACTTTAGTAAAGATTTAAGATGCAAGATCTGCAACTGGTGTTTTTGTTTTACCTGAGTTTTTCATGGCTAGAAGTGGTTGTCCCAGATGAGGAAGGAAGAATGACAAAATGGGATTATTGTTTGGGCTATTGGGCACATAAGGAGAACATATTGTCTCATCATTTAATGCTGTGGCAAGTTTGGCCAATCATAAAATTCCCATCTTTTTATTCCCACCACCTCTTCCAGCACCTCAGGCTTCTCTTTCTTTTTCCCATTTCTGGGAACCATTTCTATGCCACATTTATGAAATAAGCATTACATTGCAAATCTCTCTTCTCCATACACAAACAATTTTCATTTATAAACATGCTATGACTTAAGAGAATTTTTTTGCTGAGGAGCAGAGGAAGTTGTGCCTGTTGCTGGATATATTTTGTTATAGATGCTGATTTCCCATTTGATTAAAAATAAAGAAATGATGAATCAGAGAGGATGGTGCATACCAAGGGAAGACATTATATTTGAGCAACAGGTTTTCAGCATTCCAAATATATCTACCATCTTCAATTATCTTTTCCATAAGATATCTTAATTACATAATAATAAATAAATAATAATAAATAATGATGGCTAATTCTGCGGTATTGGGAGGGATGATTTCCTTTTAGACAAATATTATTAGGTAATTTTGATTATTGAGCCATTTCTTTCTTAAGGAGCAAGGCAGAATCCATGAATGAACTCCTTCTCTTTTGAAAGAATGTAATCCCGTGAAGAACAGTCTGTCCAAACATCCTTTGGACATAATAAGCCCACGTTTTCATAATAGTTCTTTTCTTTGGTGATCATATCTGTATTTCCAAAAAATTTTTTTCAAGTTTGGTATCCCATGATAAACACAATTACTTGTTTCTAGATAAATAGATGATGGATGTTGAAATATCCAAGGTCAAAATACTTTTTTTCTATTTAATAAGCAAGCTGTGTACAGAGTTTTCAAATACACATTTAAACAGGGGTAAAGGGGTGGGGATATATTTGGAAGTTTCCTGTCATTTCTTGCCAGTGCTGTCTGATAGTCACTATTTAAGTATCATTGTGGTCTTATTATGGTTATATACTATACTAGAAAAATATTTTTAAAGTTATTTAGTGCATTATAAGGGTAATATTTAAATTATTTAATTTAATAATACATTTGTTAGTTGTGTGGTACTGATATTCCAAACAATTTTGTGTTGTCACAGAAAAGAGAAAGGTTTTTAATTGATTGGAATTAACAATCATTCTTCTATAAGATTTAATTAACTAAGGAAATGAAGTTATGTTTGTTACAGCTGCTAAATATATTAATACTATGTTGTATATATAATATTTCTGTGCTAGCAACTCCTCCACTTGTCCCCATTTTTCAGTTTT